GTCAAAGCAACAGGGTTACATTAATATTTGCTGAAACACTTCATTAGCGTCACAGCTCGCTATCGTCAATGATCCCAGTTTTTAATTTTTTTCGCTTGTTTGCGGATTTCTCCAAAATACGTGGTGATCATAATTATTTATCATAATTATTGAGAGTCTGGTGTAATATGTAGCTTTCCTGTGACATTATTTAACAATATATGATAGAAAAAACTTGGATGTAGCTGTTGCTGTGGAAAGGGGTGATTGCTTCCAAACTTCGATACAGTTCAGACAGAGTTGCCTCGAATGTTTCAGTGTTTGTTTCGCAAGGCCTCAGTTTCCCATTCACCACAATGAAGTTGAGGGGTGAAAAGCAGGAAGGCCCCTACAGTAAAACAGAGAAAACCCCCAAATTAGACGACAACCTGTGAGCAAGCACTTGGCAACAGTGGGAAAGAAAAACTCCCCTTTAACAGGAAGGAATCTCCAGCAGAACCAGAATCAGGCTCAGGGAGGGGCAGCCATCTGCCATGACATCCAGCACATGATCTAGAAGAGCGGTGTCAAACCCATTTTAGTTTGTTGGCCGCATACAGCTGGTTTAATCTTAAGCGGGCTAGTCCATTAAAAAAATTTTGCCCAAGGAAGACCTCCAAATCTTTTCCCCTTTCCTTTAGTGTAAATGCATTTTAAATACATTCACATTTAATGAGCCATCCTTTTATAAAAGTGATGATGAAAAGCCTGGGATGTCTCAAGAAAAATGAGTGCAATTTAAACAGCACCTCTGAGTTTTTCCACATTATTAAAGAAATCTGTCGGCACTGCCCCGTCAGCTTAACCACTTTCTAAGACATAAATTTGAGAAATGAACCGGCAGCTCATCACTCAGGCTTTGTCCTGTAGTTTAACAAACAGAACTTTACAGTTATTTAAAAAAGAGAAGTCCCTCTTTCACACTCTGACCAGTACATATCTTAAGGGTTGTCCACACAGGAAACGTTTCACTCTTCACACATCGCTTTGTAGCTGATGCTTGGTTGCCTACGTAACTCTCTAATGTATTTACTAGTCTGTCATACGTTAATCAAAGATTTTGAGAAAAGTTTAACTCAGAACCCACCCAGTTTGCATCACCAGTTATTTTGTTCATTATTCCTGCAGTTGCTGAACATCACAGACTTTTTGTGGTCTCGGATTGTCACTGGTAACTTCCTGTGTGGATATCCCTTTACTTCGGTCCTCTTCTTATTCTTCTTCTCCTTTCGGCTGATCCCTTTTGGGGTTGCTGCGGTTGATCATCTGTCTCCATCTCACCGTATCCCTAGCATCCTCGTCTGTGACACTGACCCTTCACTCATCCACAAATCTTATCTGAGCTCTTCCTCCTGTTGACAGCTCCGTCTTCAGCATCCTTTGTCCAAAATATTCTCTATCCCTCCTCTGCACAAACCATCTCAGCCTTGTCTCTTTTACTGTGTCTCCAAACTGTCCCTCTGATATAGACAGAAAAGAAAAATTGACACCTGTGGTCTGGATAAACCTGAGAATTTGGTGTTCAGGGCACGTTGTATGCACCCTCACCACTTGGGTAAATACTTTGACACTGACATCACAATCATGAGTATCCACTGATACCAATCTGATGCTGTCTTTTCCCTCGCTTCAACAGCTAAGCTGTGAATAATACATTTGTCTGGACACACTTCATAGCTCCAGATATCAGTTGTGAAGCTAAGCTTGGCAAAACTATCTAAGCAACATCTGTTACTGGAGACACATCTGTCTTTACAGCACATCACTCAAAGTTTAGTTAGCTGATGCAAATGGATTATATTAGAGTATAGTTATGCAGTTATTTGGCTGGTAGACAACATTACTGAAAATGTACTGTAGTATATGGCAAAATAGTGCAGAGGTATAGTGTACGTCTTCTGTTTGTGTAGATTTTTAGCAACCAGCAAACACCTCTTATTTTGTATTAAAGATGCCACATGCGCCATTGTTTCCACTTTTTTTCCTCTGCTGTGTCCTTCTTAGCTCAGTGCAAAAGAATTCAGAGGCCGAAGAGAAAGAAGAGGAAAGTGCAGAAATAAGGAAGAACAGGGACGCCCAGCTGGAGGAAGAAGCACAACGTCTGAAGGAGGAGGTGGAGAAGCTGAGAGTGGAAATGGAGAAACTCGAGGAGTCGCAGAAGCACTGGGACGAGAGAAAAGAGGACGACATCAAAGAGGAGGAGCTGGACGAGGAAAAGAGAAAGGAGCGGGAGGAGGAGAAGATGCGAGAGGAGGTGGAGGAGATCAGGAGGGAGCACAAGAAGGAGATGCAGAGTTTGGTGTCCGAATACAGCAACGCGCAGAGTCACCTGCAGGCGCGAATCGTGGCCTTGGAGAACGAGTGAGTAGAGGAGAGACCCGAGGAGATAAGACACCCGGAGGGCTGGAGGGGTCGGGGGGTGTGTGTGCAAGGTATGGGGGTGAAAAGGTGTGCAGGTATGTGAGAAAGGTGTGTGTTTCTGTATATGATTTAACTGCAGGCTGCGAGAGCGGGAGGAACGCTGCAGGCGGAGGGAGCCTCGATGTGACGACCTGCAGCTGGGGAGACTCCAGGAGAGGCTGACGGAGAGAGACCAGCTCATCAAACGATTAGTGGTGAGAGCACACGCAAAAACGATCACATTAACGCAAAAACTATGACTTTTTTAACCCTCAAAGATCCAAAAATGACAGAGTGGGGTGATTTATGATTCTGTTATTTAAACAGGATCACTTTTTTTTGAATAGTTCAACTTGTGTTTTATCTACTTATATTTATCTGTGGCAGATATTGCATAGTAAGTATAGTTTTCTATGGTTAGCATCAGGGCTTCTGCAGCAGTGCATCCCTGTACTCTGGATATGTTAGGCATGCTTCACTGCAAAAATACTTATAGATAGATTTTACTTGGACCACATCAGACACTTTTTAATGTAAAACAGTGAGTATACCTGATACAGTCCCACATGATATGTTGTTGATTTCAGCATAGTCTGACTGTTCCAACTAACCCTGACAAGAACTGTTAAAAAGTATATGAATCCATTCATCAAAAAACTTCATATCTAAAATTTCCGCCCATCGTGCCTGTCTTTAGGGCTGTATTCCCTAATTGCATCGAGATAGTCAGATTTAGTTTAGGTTTTTTGGTTTTTGAGCTTTCTTTATTGACGATATGAGCATAGATATTACAGAAGATCAAACAACAACAACAGTAGGAGAAAAAGGATGTTAAAGAACATAATACAGACAGATTTTTCATGCCTTGGATTTGTTAAAGTTGTCAATGAAGGGTTGTGATATTCCAAAGAATAAGTCCCAATTTTCCCTTTTCCAGCTGTAAGTGGTTAATTACATCTCTCAGCAGGGTTAGCTGGGTTGGTGGTTTGTTTTGCTTTCAGTTCAACAGAAAAAGTCTTTGTATCAGCAAGAGCACAAACTGAACCAATATATACCGATTATTTCACAATTCTAAGGTTGCCACCCTAAACCCAAATGGTGCCAGAAAAAACAGGCGACATCAGACAAAAAAGGAAGTATATGTGATCAGTTTTGGTCGTTTGTTGCGAAAGAATGGGAATGAGTTTGCATACATCTGAAAATATCCGATTTGGGATGAGTTTTTTCAGACATGTAGAGAAACACGCTGTGCAGTGTCACACCCAGAATCAGAGCTTTCATTATGAAATTACATAAGTAAAACTCTGCTTTATTTTGTACCTTTTTATTTTCATTTACTACAATATTTAGTAATTTAACTGCTTTTACAGTAAAAAGAATTTTCTTTCCTGTATGAGAGACCTCAGAGAATATAAAAAACATTTTTTGCGCAATTTTGGGGTTCTTCCTTCTAACCTAAATGTGATAGTTATAGTTGGAAAATTACAAACATTTCACCCATACTGCTTAACAACATACATCTAATTTATTTACTGGTTTGTAAAAAACTACACACAACTTCCCATTGCTCTTGCCATGCCAATGGGCCAATTTGTGTTAGAAATAAAATAATATGAAAAGTTTCAGGAGAAGTAGAAGTCGACAAACTCATGAAACATCACAACAGTAGTTTAAATAAAGGAGAAAAAAGGGGCAAAAGGAACCAAATAACAAAAAGATGCTACAAAAAATAATAAAAAATAAATCCAAGACAGAAGACTAAAGCTCTACTGGTTTTCAAAAGAATCCAAAAATACTACAAAGAGAGCAGAAACTAAACCGAGCACAAACAGGAAATGGTAACCTGTCAGGATCACAGCAGAGAAACACGGGCTGGAAATAGACAGACTGAAATACAACCGGGAGAAGGCGAGGACTGCGAAACGGAGAACTAAATGACTGATTAAGCACATGTAAAACCAATAAGAGTGAAGAAGAAAATCACAGTGGAGCGAAGAAGACAGAGACAGGAAGTAAAACTAACAGAGACAGTGTGACTCGCAAAAGGAAAAAAAGTAAAAGAGTCTGATGTTTATTATTTATTCATCATCTGTACCATAGAACTCCATTGTTGCACTTGCAGACACACACACACACACACACACACACACACACACACACACACACACACACAGTCTTGCCAAAATTACTCACTACTGTAGCAAATGTGTATAAATACTCGGCTGAAAATAGTCCTCATTAATTACCCTATTTACTCCTGTTTGAATAATGATTGCTGAAAACTACAGTGCCCATTAGTTTTAGGAAATGAGTGAGTCTTTTAAACAATAAGACTTTATAACTGTGGCCTTTTTTTAAAATAGTGCTGACAGCCACAGCTGGCCTGTCAAAGTTGGCTAGTTGAGGCTTTTTAATGGATTTGCTAATAAAATGAATCTTTAAATGTTTGTATTGTCTCTTTAGATGAGAGACAGATGCAGCTAAAAGAAGTATGTGTGTAAACTTTCCCCCCCGAAGCAATACAGCTAATATAGCTAAGTATTAATACACTACATGGACAAATATATTGGACCACCCCTGTGTTTTAGGCCCCATTGCCACAGGCGTATAAATTCAGTCGCCCAGCCATGCAGCCTGCCTTTAGAGATCTTTGTTTGACTGTGGTCCTGTAGTAAGACTCAACTACTTGGTTTGTGAAATTTCTTCCCTCTTGATGTTCCACCATCAACTCTAAGTGATGTTATTAGAGAGTGAAGCATTTAGGAGCCTAAGCAATAATGTGGCAGATAATATAAAGTTACAGAGTGGGGCCACCGAGGCGTAAAAGCTACCAATGCTCTGCAGCGCTCCAAACTTGCTCTGTCATTAAAATCAGCACAAACATTGTGCGCCAGGAGCTTCTTGATATGGGCTTCCATGGCCAAGCTCCACCTGTAAGTGTAATGTATAGGTGGTGATGTACAGTACTTTTATCTTATCTTACTGATACGCTGATGGACTTTTCTTCATCTTTGGGAACACCAAAATGGAAAAAAAATATAAGCAAGTTTTCTGGAGGTTAAAGATAAGATTTGCTTAGATGTGCCTGTGCCCTACAACATGCCCATGTGCATTACTACTTTTCTTTCATAATTTTCTTTTTGGTTAAAAAGGTAATCATTGCATTGATCAGTCATTGATTTTAGAAGCACTACAGTAGTGCTTTAGTTACTGCACTAAAACCTGATGACACCCTTGCAGAATCTGCGCTGAGGTTTGGCCCAAGCACCAGGAACTTCATGGTTTCCATGACCGGGCAGCTCCTATAATGTGTAATGTGTAGGTGGTCCTGAACATTAATGTTAGTGGTGCATAAAATGTTTTGATAATATTTGTACACACTTGTACAGAGGTGGATGGATTCAGGCTCTCTCGATTCCCTTATACTTGTATCTTCAGATATATGGGCATGATAGTATTTGAGCTATAGAACTGATTCTTGACCTTAGAGCAGGGTGGTCAACATTTTTCTTTAGCAGAGGACTTGAATAAAACGAACAAAGGTCCACGTGTTGGATAACTTGATTAACTGACTACAGTAAAAGTATAACCAACGTAAAAGATGTGTTAAAAAAGCTACATGAACACTTAAATTAACTTACATCTTGCCCGTTGTCTGATATACACCACTGCATGGGTCAGCATTAAAACACGTGGTGTAGCACAGACTCACTGCAGTGATTCCTCTTGACGTATCTTTTGCATAATGTTGCCTTGTATTGATTTCTTAGCAGTTGCTTTGTTTTCCTCTGGAGACTGAGGTGGGCCAAGGTCCCATCTGACTGCAGCATCCCTGGTTTGATTTCTTTCAAAGTGTTTAGTTCTGTGTAATCTTTTAAACACAGACAGACTGATTATAGCAGCTGCTCTGATCCAAACTCTAACAGTAGCAAGCTAAAAATCAAAATCACACAGTGTGTTGAGACTGAGAGTTAAAAATCTGGCTGCATAAATGAGCATTTTTCCCAAACCATAAATATTTAAATGACTCAGACTAAACCCAGTGGAACAGTGCCTTCATTAATCATCAGCGGTCATGTGTGCGTAGGAGAAAACTACATTTTTCAGTGTCCTCTGACTGAGTGCTGCATCTACCATCTGTGTGACGTGAGGCAGTTTAGCAAACATTTACACCCTCCAGACACAACTCAAACCCTACAACAAGAACAACAACAGCAACAATTGTGAATAAGGCCAGTGAAAGTCCTTCCTCGTCCTCCTTGCCTCCAGGAAGAGAGGCATCAGCTGCAGCTCTATCCTCCTGTTGCCGGGGACAACTGTAGCCTCGGGCCCCGTGACAGCAAGTCCCGCCCCGGGAGCATCACGCCAACCACGATGGTGAGTTTGTGTGTTCAGCTCACGCGCGTAAGAGTGAGCCTCCATCTAGCCAGAAGGGCTCGCTGGGCCGAAGCCGGCTTCGGTTTCTGGGGCACGAAACAGTGAAACGTGGAAGTTCGCCCACTCAGCACGTCACCAGTGTGTGGTAACGACACCCCGCCCCCCTCCCTGCAACAACTCCATCATCACTCGGCTTTTACTAACATTGCATTTGGCAACTAAAGATGCAGATGCGTGAAAGATGTGGGAACTTATATTATGCAGCACTTTTATTTTTTTTTAGTTTGACCTGTTATCAGCTGACGTGCAAACATGATGAAATCGATTTTGAGGCGATCGCGTCTTTAATCAAAGCTTCTCAGGAGTGTGACTAATAAATTGAGGCTGCTGTAAAGTGCAGGATTCTGTGTGCCTTCACTTGCACTTGTTTGGTGTCAGTCGTGGATATGTGCTTACCGACCATCTGGCGTGGTACATTTAAAAATGCTGACACGCATCATCACCTGCAGCCTGTCGACAGTCTCCTATGATGGCTGCGGGCCACCAACTTTTGTATTTATGTCCATGCATTTGTTACTGAGAAGTTTCAGTAAAACTACACTTATTTCGGGATGTGTCTTCTTCTCCTGTAATGCCTAAACATTGAACACTTCAGACTCTGCTGTTTCGTTTTAATATAAATCATAGAGGACATAAAACATTTTCCTTAGCTGCCGATTTAATCAAACTTACTACTTAAAGACAAAATTTGCATTTAGCTGGGGTCTATTTTCAGAGTATGATTTAATACATGTGTAGTATTTACAGGACAGAATATGTGGCTGAAAATGAACTAAGGTGGCCTTCATAATAACTGAACACGTGTGGCTTTACTAATTTCACTAAATTGACTAGTGGGCACTTGCTTTGCAACATAAACTTACCAACATAACACTAACATAAACTAATTTTAAGAGTGGTCTTGCGTAGTAGTTCTCCAGGTTTTCTGAAGGTCTCTTAGTCTTTCTTTGAACATTTGCAACTTTTTTTATTTTTATTTTTCAGTCCAATGTACCTGAGTTTTCACGCTCAGATGGATGTTTGTTTTTCTTTGTTTGTTGTTTGTTCAAATGGCATTGGATGAACCAGTGTCCTGACTACACAAAGAACTCATTTTAAATTTAGGAGACTTTTGCAAAAACATTTATTCAATTTCTTTAGTTGAGTCTATGAAAACTACCAAAGATACCACAGTAAGCCAAAAGCCTATATCTCAGTAAACCCATCTACAGCAGATGAACATTATCTGAAAGTTATATCTTTAAGAAATAGGAAAAAAATCCAGCAAAGACTTGATACAGCACCTGAAAGATGCTCCTGGCCCTTCAGTAGATCCATCTATGTTTCACTGAATCCTCATCAGAAGTGGTCCCAGTTGAAGGGTGGCTGTCAAGAAGCCATTCTTAAGGAAGGGAAATAGGTTGAAAAGCCTGAGTTATGCCAAATTAAACAAGAAATGGACTGAAAATCAGTGGCAACATATCTCATCAAATAATTACTCCAAATTTAAACATTTTCCTTCAAACTTTTGTCAGTATGTATGCATGAGGTCAGGAGAGAGGCACAACAGTGAGTCTCTACAGACATCAAGAAAACATGATGGAGGGTCTGTCGTAGTTGGCCGGTGGTTTTGGAGAGCTTCTCAAAATTGATTATGAATGCAAAAAAGTGCTGTGAGATTTTGATCCACCACCATCAAGAATCAGACTGGCAACAGTTTCATTTTTCATCATGACAGAGAATGAAGGAAAAGGCAGCCAACATCCAAAGAAGAGCTTTGAATGTCCTAAACTATTCTTGAGGACCACTTAAAGGAATAACAAGAACGCTTGTCTAATAGAGTTCAGCTGTGTTGAAGAATAAAGGTGGTCAAACCAAATATTGACTTTCAAGCTTGTTCTGCAACCTCTGTTATCTCTATTCACGTTTGCACGTTTCTATAAATCAATGCACCTATTTCCCATTTTTCTTGTAAAAAATAAAGAAATGAAAGGCCACTCACGACATTTACACAGCATTGTACGTTTTTTTTTTTTTAATATAGGTTGGTTGTGTAAACAGTCAAATTCAAGCCAGAAGCTCAAGCTTCAGACTGCTCTAAATTCTCAGTTTCGCTTTTTTTCTCCTCTTGGATCTGCGAGGCAGCTCTGGCTGTGAGCACAGACACCTTGGCCACCTGCTGTTTGGATCTTTTGCTTTTGAGTGGCAGCCAATCAGAAGAAAGTTGGCTGACCTTAAAGAGAGAGGAGCTTCAACAGCTTGTTTCAGACAGAAGAAGAACCAAGGCTCTGCACCAACATCCAGTAAAAGCTAAATATAAGCACTGTTTTGAACTGTCAGTCATGCAAAGCTGCTCTGGTGAAGTCCAAGAATAAAATATGTGGGCCTGGATGTGAGAGCGAAGCCTCCTTTAAACAGATATCTGCTTGTAAATATGCAGAATTTGCAAGTAGGAGATTTTCTAGCTTACAGGCCACTTGTAGTCTGAGTGCAACTAACCAATCATTTGTTTGAGCAACAAAAGAGAGACTGATTTTGTCCCATTAGTCATAAATCACAACCAGTGGGTCCAGATTTCTGCTGGTTATACTGAGCGCTCTGAAAAACTGATCCTTTTTTTAAAAACTCTAACCTATGTGTCAATTTTTATTTATTTATTTTTTTCCACAGAGGAAACGTGCCGAGTCGCCTCCTCGTGTCACCAGCATCTCCACGGCCGGCACTTACAACAGGAGCATCTTTGTGCCCCACTCCTCCTCCTCCTCGTCTTCCTCCTCCCCCTCCGTCCATCAGCACTCCTCCTCAACCCTCCCCCACCAGTCCTCCTCCCACCCTCAAACCTCGCCCCACTACTCCACCTCCTCTCTCCCACACAAACATACGTCCCTCCCCCTCACCCAGCATTCCTCGCCCTCCCTCTCTCGCTCCGCCAGAACCCGGACCTCCTGCATCCCACCGACGCCGGCGCCGACGGCACCTCTCCCCGTCTGCCCCTCGCCTCAGACGGGCATCCGATACGTGTCCCCCTCCTGCCTGGACCCACACGTACACCTGCAGGCCCACTCAATCAGGTATGAATGTTTTGATTCAGCCAGCTGACTTCCTCAGGGTGAGATAAGAAACCAAAAATTAAACTTCACCTTATTTTTAATATTTTTTTTACTTTTTGACTTAATCCTTACCAGGGATATCACATGTTCAACAAGTTATATTAACAACCTTTTGAACTTTATATAAAGATGTGAAAATATGATGAAAACTAGAGGGAGCAATACAACAATAATTCTTAGTGATGACATTAATCAAAGCGATACAACAAGGACTCAGATCGCTGGCATGAACTGGATGTCGGGATTAATCAGCTGTCAGTCTGTGTTAATCTCAGCGCTTAGTTCAAGATGAGCCAGCTGTAGCTGTCCGCTGCAGATCTCTTGATGGAAACCTGCTCTACCAGCAGTCATCACTTTCCATGACAGCGTGGCTGGTGATGTTTCCACATTTGTGACTCTGTGTGTCTGTCATGGTGGCAAAATGTGGTCTCATTCTTGCAAGTACTACTACAAATGCAACTTTAAGTACTGAATAAGTAATTAACTACATCATGATTCATAAATAACACCGATCATCCTGCTACAGAATCATGTTTTACAACCTTCTCATTCATGTGGATCTTACTTTGACATTTACTGCCAACCTTAATCAGTGTCACATGGGGGCTGGAGCCTATCCCAGTTACCATAGGGCGAGAGGCAGGGTACACCCAGGACAGATGGCCAGTCTCTCACAGGGCTAACACACAGAGAGACAAACAACCATTCACACTCATGGGCAATTTAGAATCACCAACTAACCTAACCCCACTAATTGCATGTCTTAGGACTGTGGGAGGAAGTCATAGTACCCGAAGAGAACTCACACAAACACGTGGAGAACATGCAAATGAGGCAACAGTGCAAACCATTGCTGCAAACATAGACTGTATATAAAAGATAGCACACTGTGATGTCACATGTTGGTCTGTCGGCTTTGTGTTTTTGTTAGCTCAGCGGTTTGTGACTCTAATGTGGATCATAATTTACCAACAAACCTTTCATGGTCCATGAGTCCATGAATTAATCAGAACAGGGTTTACTGAGGTTGTGGATCAAGACAGATGAGACAATGCAGTCACAAAAAGTCTAATTAAGACAGACATTTTGAACAGGGATGTTATCCTGACCTTGTGTACTCGTTGCTGTGTGATCATGTAATAATCAGTTTATGACTACTGAGGATTTATGCATACAAATACAACAATAATTCTCAGTGATGACATTAATTAAACCGATACAAGGTTGCTTGCTAATGCCAGGTTTGATCCCGTCTCGTCTTCAGAACTGTCAGATTTGTCGGCTGCACATCTATAATGTGACTCTCCCCTATTAACACATCCAAGTGGTTCTCTGTTGGTGACTGTGGAGGCCATTTGAGTTCAGTGAACTCAAAGTCATGTTCAGTACAATATTTTATTGTCCAGTTTTGATGAGCCTTCCCCAACTGTAGCCTCAGTTTCTTGTTCTTAGCTGCTGTAGCACGCCTCCTGTTACTGTAGTTTTCTCCTCTGACCTTTGTCATCAACGAGACATTTTCTAACAGAGAGCTGCCGCTCACTGGATATTGTCTCTTTTTCAAACCATTCTCTGTAAAATAAAAGGAGAGTCCCAGCAGATCAGACGCTTCTGAAATACTCAGACCAGCCCTTCAAGCACCAACTACCATACCAAATTTAAAGTAACTTAAATCACCTTTCTTCCCCATTCTGATGCTCAATTTGAACTTCAGGAGGTGGTCTTGACCATGTCTACATACCTAAAGGCATTGAGTTTCTGCCATTTTATCGGCTGATCATTTTCACTCATGCAACACTTTATTCTTTAAAAACACCTGAACATGCTGGAGCTTGAGCCACAGACCTTCCAATTGGTACACAACCCACTCTTCCTCGTGAGCCACAGATGTACCAAAGGTCTAACAGCTGTAATATAGTGTAAATACCAGTGAGGTGACATCTTGTCCTAAAGAAGGTATTCAGTAAATGTCAGTCTTTATAAGCTGAAACAGTCAAGGTCCTGCTACTTTCCTTTCTTTCTTTTCTGACTGCAATTGAACACCCTAGCATACCAACTAAAGGTGTAATTAACCTGTAATAAATGCCATTTAATTCAAAATTGTAATGTAATTATATTCGCATACAAATACTTAAAGGTAGACACACTAAGTCAAGTTTTTACAGGAAACAAGGAAGTAATTATAAAGTAATTACTTATTATTATTATCATTATTACTATGTAAATTTAGGGCTCCATAAGTAATTTTAAGTATGAGGTAACTAATTTGGAATAAAAACAATGTGTTCCCATCTTACATCGCACACTGTACTTTTCAGGGAACAAATTGCCTTTATTTTGTCTTTTTACTTTTTTTTATTCAATATTCATTAAGTAGATGTGCATGATGGATATTCTATTATTTACTTTTTTGCTTACGCTGTAGTTTAAATTCCTGTAAAAACCTCTTGGCTTCTTACCAACTTTATTCTAGCGTACCTACCTTAAAGTAGTAGTATGCAGATATAATAACATTTTAATTTCAAATAAAATCCGTTGAGATTCGTTTTAATTGCCCTTAGTCGTGGGACGTGTAATAAAATGTTACTAATGTTTTTCTTCCCGTCATGTTTCTGAATTAGTTGTGATTAAAACACTAAACCTGTCTGCGTCTTGTGTCGTGCAGGGGGCCATACCTGGAGCAGAGAGGGACAGAAGGGCTGAAGCAGGAGTGGTTCACCAAATACTTCTCCTTCTGAGCACAAATGCATACAAGCATACAGACACACACATACACATACAACAGCTGCAGGTACATTTCATATCCACTTCATTGCTTCTTATACACATCTGTTTGCTTCCCAGACTCAAACACACACACACACACACACACAAACAAAGAACCTTGAAAACAAACACATCAACAGACATATGGGCTCATCACCAGCAAGGCCATTTCAAACATTGCCTCAAAGCTCAACCAAAAAGTGCTTCTCAAACACATGCCTGACCTCTTCTCAGACATTGGCCTGCCGGATCTTCTTTGTATAGTTTGGAATGTCGCCATATGTTTTTTTTTAAAGGACGTCTTCCTTTTTTAATGCAACTGTTGCCCTAATCCCATCGTGTAACGATTCCAGGCAGGTGTTCATTAAGAAAAAGAAAAAGAAAAAACAGCAACCAAGTGTCTCTTTGCGTATGGAAGCATTCAACATATTCAATCAAGATCCACATCAAAATGGACACACACGACTCACCATACCAAAATGAAGCTTGTTTCAATGCAAAAATGTATAATAATCTTAATGATGAAATTGAATAAAATATTTTGTTTTTGTATGTGTGTCCTTTTTCTGTTTATCACATTCTTTGAGCTTAAGCTCAGATGCTTCTCCGTGGTTCAGGGTATCACTAAAAAGATTCACATCATGTGTCGTTTGTATGGCGACGTGCAGTGTACTCCACCCGCTGCCAGTAGTGCACAGTACAGGAAGGTGGATTTATAATGTTGAAGTAGCTGAAAATTCTTTACCAGGATGATTTATAATTAGTTGTAAGTTTTGTTGATAAATTACCCAGAAAAATCTGGGTAATTTAAAAAAATCTGTTACTGACCAATTTATCAAATTAAATACTCGACATATCTAACGATTTTAACTCACTGTTCCAAAGACGACCATAATCACCTTTCAGGTATTAGTTAAAATGATTTATAGACTGCTGTTAATCTGACCACTGACTTATTTTTGTCATCTCAGGACTTAAAAGTTATTAACTCAAAGATAATACACATTTTTGTTTTGGAGAGATCTCACCTTTCTGGAGGGAAATAGTGTACCAAGCTTTCTTCTTGATGGTTATCAACCGGAATAAACACAAACTACTTTAAGGCAGTTTAGTTATACTTTGTTTACTACTTGGAGACATGTTTCACAGCTTACTGGGCTTCGAATAATCCACTAGATTTCCTTCTGCTGGCATTTTAATGCAGTACAATACATTCCCTATCAGTTTAATAAAGGGAGCCCTTCTTCAGCCCATTCCTTTGTCTAGCTGCTTATCAAATTCAAAGTCACGGGAGTGCAGAGCCTATCCCAGCTCTTTTAGAGGGAGAGGAGGGGGGGTACACAGGAGGACGGGGGACCTGGGCAGGTCCCCAGAATATCACAGGACATACACAGGGAGTACGTACAAACGCTGACAGATTCAAACCCAGAACCGTCTTGCTGTGAGGTGACAGTTCTGATTACTATTATATACGACCATACTAAAACAATTATAAATCTAAATACCCTGGTACGCTGTAATAACATATCAACTTAACATGCTTCATTTTTTACATCTTCTTACAGACTTTTATTTTATATAAAAACATTCAGAACTCTTAAAATGTGCATTTATTGATTATAATGCTTCACACAGAAGTGAATCCTCTGCCAGATTTACCTGTTAAATGTCCCGTTTACGCTACATTTACATACCATATTTTTGAGATCTAATCTTCTATTTCCCCTTGTGGCCCTTCTGCTTTTCAAATGAAATCACATCACATGTTTCTGAACCGTTTCATCATTAACCAGAGAAAAAAATGAAAGAAAAGCTGAAACTTGGCCATGTAGTAGGTAGTGATTAATTTACACCAAGTAACAGATTAAGAACCAATGCAGACAGCAAACACTGAACCACATTGCTACAAGATTAAGAAAGAAATATTTCATTTCATTTCTTTATTTATTTCACACACCTTATCATGATAATTCTTTTCAAAATTTATACCTAGGATGCAAAAAAACAAGTGAATGGATTTATTAGAATAACAACATAAAGAAGCTCCACTGACCACCAATATATAATCTCCAGTCATTTTAATGAGCCTTGTTTTATGACAGCATTGTCTGCACTACACTCTAAGTAACTCTTCTGTGCCAGCGTGTCAACTGGGAACACTGGGAACACTGTCTTAAATTAACAGAGGACGAGCGGGAAGAAACATTGCACCCTCTTTGTGCTAAAAACGGTCTCTGTGTGAGTTTCCTCACACTTTGCGTTGAATCCTCGTGCTACTGGAACATGGGGCAGCTCTGCAACGCCTCTGTGGCTGAACTGTACTGGAGGACATTGTCATAGAAACCAGTCAGCTCCTCTCGCACGTCCTTGGCAGTCCTCCCCCCTGAGCCGCGGTACTTCATAGAAAGCAGCTTGGAGCAAAGGTAGTGGAGCCACAGTACGTTGGTATGAGGGTGGTAAGCAGCCCAGTTATTTCTGATAAAAGACACAAACAGCATGAGAGGATCAATAAATCAACAACAATGCTGCATTTCTCACTGTGCTGTCATGAACTTTAACAATGCCAAGAGTGTCATATTTGACACGTGAATTTCTGAGACGGCTCCATCATCAGTGTGAACCGATACTCTAAAGCAGTGCTGTCAAACATAGGGCACAGGGGCCAGTCCGACCTAATAGTCTGGCCCGCTGGACTGCTTTATAAAATGTGAGGGATTTTTTTTTTTCTCCACAGCTTTTCTGTGAATTAACAAAAACTTTTAGTCTTATAATTACAGGACTGTGTGGGCAATGAGCTACCAGAATTGTTTGGTTTTTTGTTGTAATTTTAAACATTTCTCACAATTTGAGTCTAAAGAAAATCAAAAACAGAATATTCTCATCATTTCCCTTATATTGAGATCACTCTGAGATTAAATGTGCAGTTAAACTTCTGTACAGTGACAGACAGGGCAGTCTGACCCATTTAAGATTAAAGTGGGCTGTCTGTGGCCCACGATGTAAAATCAGGTTGACATTTGTGCTCTGGAGAAAAGGCCAACAGCAGGGAATGTCCTGACCTCCTGATTCACAGGGAATTATGTAACCTCGCCTCACTGTTTTTTTTTTTTTCCTTTTTAAATTTGACATAATTACAAACATGTTTTTATGAGTGTCTCAAAGAAAAAGAAATCCTACATAATAGCAAAGCAAAATTATAATTTAACAGTTCAAGTTTAACAGTATCACTGGTTTCATTTTGTTTCCAGGTTTGTTTCCTCATTTCAGTTAAGTTTATTTATAATGTTGGTGGTATTCATTATTTCAGGACACAAAGAACTGACTCCATGTCAGCATCTCAGTCTCAGACAAATGAACAAATCACTCGTTCTTTCTGGTTTGACTGAAAAGTATGATGAAACTGACCTGGACAAAAACTAAAAACATTTACTGTATATTTTTATTCTAGTTTGTTTTGTTTAGTAGGTGCACAGTGATAGATGTATAGAGATACAGCTATAGAAAGATACAGAGACATAGAGTGAGATAAAGACTTTAAGCCTTTACTGCACAGAGACTCCTGTTACATGGCACATAGATGCTTGATCACTAAATGGACTGACCCGTTTTCCTGTCTCATGAGTCTGTAGATCTCAAACTGGTAGTCTCCCCGTCCCATGAAGAGCTCTTCATCATTTGAGATGTCACAAGACACCGTCAAATCATCTACAACACAAAAGCAACAGTTTAGAACCACTACATAATATTCACTATGTGTATAACACAATCCATTCAAAGTATGACAGTAAGCAAGTAGAAAGATATCTGACCGATTTCTAGTCTGGAGAGAGAATAGTCAATGATGCGGACCAGCACCCCTCTGGTTTCCAGAGAGTGGGTGGTTCCATTGACGAGGAAGCTCCCCGTCTTCTGCTTGGTTGTTTTGACCAGCACGTTTCCCCAGTGCAGGTCCCTGCAATAAACAGTGTGTAGGGTTAAACTGTTAGAGCTAGAGTTCCAGCTGAACATTTGTTAGTTTCCTTCTAAACGCTAGAGGGTTTTGTTTTGTTAGCGGGGAACAAACTGGATCTGTAAGCGTCTTCTTGGGAAACTGTCAGTCGGTGCTGTAATTTATCAATGTGTGTCAGTACCTGTGTTCAAAGTGAAGCTCCTGCTCAGCAACAGCCAAGGCAGCAGTAACCTGGTAAAGGATGCTCTTCGCCACCGCTAAAGATGCCAACTTGAAAACACAACAAGAGCATAAATAAATAAATAAAGTTTTTTAGACTATTTAAGTGCAAACATTCAAGGCATCCAATTTCCCCACGAGTAAACATCCCTGCAAATTCACCTGATAATCAGTCCAATACTGAGAAAAAGTGCAAAAAAACAAAACAGGTCATGAGGTCCGAGCACCCGTGCTACACACACTGAGCACCTTCTTCCTGTCATCTTCATGTCGACACAGTCAGACGTCAGACTCAGGAAGAAGGTGCTCAGGATGTGTAAGACCTCAAGTCAGAAAATATTCATAAATACTTGCAGGGAGATGAGATGTGAATGTTGAGTAACAGCAATTTAAGTTTCTAGAAGCCAGAAAAAGTCCAGCCGTGCCAAAGATAACACTAGTCAACATGAATTTTCAGAAGCAAATAATTTCTTTAAGATGTTCATCATCTTTTCTCATCACCTCCAGCGTGCAGTAATTTATGGTCTGGCTGACATTAAGCTGTAATGACTGAACTCAAGAACTTGCTATTTTTATGCAGCTGCTCTCGTCATTAAAATTTTAAAACATTTTTACTGAGAGTGTGAACGTGAAATAAGCAAAGGCTTCTTTTTAGCTTAATCTTCAGTAATGACAATTTGAATACAGAGCGCTTTAACTGACCACAGACACTTTCAGCTTGTGTACTTTCTACATTCAGCCAATGTAAAAGTAGTTTTATCTGCAGGCTACCAGCTTTACCTTCTGTATCTCTGAACAGTCACAACAGAGGTGGCAGATAAAAGCTCAACATTTCCACAAAGACACGGGGAAAGCTTTGATCCCTACCGTTCCGTTGCTGTTCTCCAAGTCGATGCCGCCAAACTCAAACTCCAGGATTAGGAATATTTGGTCATTTTCAAAGAAATCTGAGCAAAAACACAAAAAGAGAAACCCAAATCACATGATTTGCTTATTTTAGGGACCGAGTGGGTTCACTTATGACCCCATTTTAGAAAGAAAGTCTAAAATATTTTTTAATGGCTTTATATTATGTTCTTAATCAAAAATTTGTTTTTTGTTTTGTTAAAAATCTATGACAAATATTTAACTGTAATCACTCACACACACACACACACACACACACACACACACACACAGAACAATTACATTCTCTTACACTAGAGGACAGTACAACTACCAGAAAAATCCAACCCTGATGAAGGCCCTAGCACGAGTAGTGGTCAGAAGAAAGCCAAAAAAAAGTACACTGGGGAAAACCTGACCCAATTCGA